GAGACCAAATTCAAATTAGATTTGAATCTGGTAACCTCCTGATAAGATCAGGAGTAAGCTAACTTAGTCTGCAGATAGGATTAAGATAATCCCATTTGGATTGGGATAACTCCTAATTAGGAGGTTTCTTAATCAAGAAGAAAGGAGGAAAAACCCTAGAGAAATATATCAGATTTCGAACCAAGGTTTTTGTGCAAGGGATACCTCCTGCGAATTGAGATTAGATCTCATGCAAAAACTCCAGAGAGAAGATTTGATCTTTGCAGCAATAGGAAGTCAAGAAATCAGTTCTTGACATCAGTCTTGCAAGAAAGACTGAAAAGACTCGGTGTTTAGAGTTTCCAGAGGGTTCTTGCAAAGGATCCAATGTGTAGGATGCACCCTGCTGGTTCTGTTCCATCCACAGTTGTGTCATCTTCAGTAGAAACGGATCTTGGTGTATTCTTTGCGCGTGAACACCAACTTTGGGAGATACTGCTTCTCCGGATCTGGTATATTCCTTCATTTTGCTTTTGGTTCAGATCTGGTTCGATTATGGTTCAAGTAGGATCCTTGAATATTGTATTCTAAATTTAGGGAATGTGATTCCCAGTTGGAAGAAGGTAGGAAATTTTTTGAAATTCGCCCACCCATTCCACAACCTTTTTGGCATCTATTAGATGGATCCTACTATTCTTTCACACGAATGGTGTAACGACTGCCCYGCTGTCTCCGACATGGACCCAGTGAAATTGAATTCTCCGTGAAGATGCGGAGTACCAATGGCTAGACGGTAAGACCCCGTGCACCTTGACTATAGCTTCGCAGTGACAACCTTGATCGAATGTGTAGGATAGGTGGGAGGTGGTGASACACAACGACCAATCCTGAAAGACCACTCTTTTGTCTAAGGATGCCTAACCGCCGCACCGATCATTCAAAGGGGGGCGAGACGCTGCGAGGTGGGCAGTTTATCTGGGGCGGATGCCTCCTACGGACGGCTGTCCAAAGTGCAAGGGGTAAACTCGGACTCRGATAGGATAGGATTGTGCGTGCCGGGCCCTTCGGGTGTCATATTTTGGCCGAGTTCCCCGTACTGTAGTGTTACGGTCTAACACAGGCTTGGCCTTGCCTACGCTTGGCAGGCTTACGTTAAGGGACATCACTGTCATTTTCGCCTGTAAGATTTTTGGGATAATTGATGTTAATTTCAGGCAGACCACCAAAAACTTAATGTACTCTTTGAGGAGGGGAGGTCGACCTCCTTGGGTAACTGACCTTGACACTGCTAGACCATCTTCCCTTGCGGGGCGGCCCTGGTTAATGGCCAGCATGGCTACTAGGGTTCCTCATGGGCACACACATGCTCATGGAGACAGTGCATGGACCGGCACTGCGCTGCCGATACTCAGGGAGGATTGGCATGTGGGCCTGGCTCAAGCATGACCCTTCACCTCGCCAGCCCCTTGCCCAAGCTGATTGATTTATCCAATTGCCCCTAGCGCACGGGTGTGTTTCACCCTAGCGGTTGCCTATCATCATGGTACACAGGTGCCCATCATCATCGACATATAGGAGACCCGTCACCTCGGTGCCAAGTCACCTCATCGGCGCACAATCGCCTTGCATTATGGTCGTCCCCCTTTAGCACGTAAGCGACGCATCCCATGGACCGGTCTGAGCCAGCTGAGTGCCCCGTCCATGCGACTTGAGGTCACGATCTAGTGCTACTGACCTTGGTAGAGCCATCTCATCGGGCAACTAAGCACACAAAGGCTTGTCCTGCCCTACATTGGCCTGGACGCTGCACGGGTTTCTTTTGCCGTATAACTACCCCCGTGATAGTAGGCCCCTATGTTACGCGGCCGTAATATTTTGTTACGTTCCACCGCTGTTACGCCAGAAATAAAAAGTTCCACACGAGCTCCCGTTCTGCGGCGTGGTGGCAGGACCGCTAGGGGATTGGCTCCGGGTGTAGGTAGGGTCAAATCTGCAGGGGYCATGCAAATACATAGGCCCCTTCCCTTCTGCGAGTGGTTTAGAAGGCGCTTTCCGATCTACGGTCCCTCGGAGCGAAGGGTTAGGCAGGTAGTACGGGCCCTCTGACTTCCAGCTATGTGCTGTGCGGCTCCCGCGAAGCGAATGAAGGGAAGCTCGAAGCTTTCCAAACCGATTACCGCGGCGGCTTATGTAGTGGTCGGCCAACTAAAGCTCGCTAAGCTTCGCTTCCCTCCCCCCTTACTGAACTTATGTAGTCGTCGGCCTTCTATAAGCGACTTGTCGAGTCTACGAAGCTTTG